AAAATAATAATATTCAACCAAAAACTCTTTCGTGGCCATTAATAATTTCAAGCAGTTATTTTTAGTGTTACCTTATAATGGTACCATTTATATATATCCAACTAAATGATATTTGTGGGAGCAATTACAGCTGCATCGAACACTATTTACTCTTTAAGAATACATGGATATATTGAAACAATAGCATATCTATAGTTTTGATAATTTATGGATGAAATTGTGCCTAAAATATAAAATTTTCTCTTTTAATAGACAAAATTGAGTTGAAAATAAAAGTTAAATGCACTTTGATAGTTTATGGATGAAATTGAGCCCAAAATGCAAAATTTGAGGACTAAAACAATCATCTTCTTAGTTATAGGATGAAATTGAGTCTAAAAAACTAAAGTTTGAGGACCTAAACAGCCGTTTTGAAAGTTTAAGAATGAAATTGAGCCTCGAATAATAATTGAGGGACCAAAATAACTACTGTACCTATTAGGAAAAGAAAGGATCATCATTCTATACCCGTATGGTAAAAAAAATGAATTAAACCGTCTTCCAATCGTTCCTGGAACGCCTTAAAGTCCTTCCTTGAGATGAAGCTAAACCGGTGTATATATATCAAGGTCGATCTCCAAGTAATTTGATCACTGTGTACAGTCGCAGGTCACATGTAAGAGTCGGGATGAAAGAAAGGAAAAGTAGAACAACACGAGCAAAGCAACTTACCACATAAAAGTTGTGCTGAGGCCTTGAGAGGGAGGACTGAATTTTCGTTATATGTGATATGTCCATGGAAGCTTCCTGTTCGCAGAACGCCGACTCACAGATTATTCATGTCATCTGGGTTAACAAACCAACCCTGCCAATAATACAGTCTTTCTCCTAAAGGGGCCGTTGAGTCCAATTTTCTACCTCGTCCTTTACAGGCCTCTGAAAACAAACCAAGATACATAGTCAGTACGGTTCAACTACGGATTGGTAGGCATGGACTAACCATGGAAAGAGATGCACATATATATAGACAAGTTTACCTTAGATGTTGTCACGAAACTTAAGTAAGGGAAAAACATACATTGACCAATAGGCCGTCTAGGAAAGAGGTTTGCTGACTCGCGCATAGGGATTTTTACAACGATTTCATTTATAACTAGAAAAAAAAATCCCTTCCATCTCTCTGAACTATGGTTGGAGTCCAGTTTTCCTCCCCAAACTTCAAAATTGGATACACTATCTTCCTTAAGCCTCAAAACCGTTTCAATTATCTCTCTACCCAATTAGAAGTGGTGTTCAACGCCATTCATCTTTCTTCAATTATAGAAATGCGATAAACATCAGATAAGGTTTTTAAGCCATGAATAAATATCTTTGAGCCTCTAAAAATTCTAAAAGAAAATTTAGAGATAGATTAGGACACAAGAAATGTGAATAAATATTTAGAGCTCATGAAAATAACTTTAGAAGCTTCCAAAGTTGTATTTAGATCTAGAAAAATTGAAAATTATCCAAAATATCAAGATTTTTTAAAACACTCTAATGGATATTTAATTGCATTTTGAAAACTTTCCATGATAAAAAATATGAGATGCAACCAACATGAATGCATTCAACATCAACTGATTAGAATGTTTTGCGATTTTATATTTTTGGATATTTTCCCTGATATTCTAGAGCTAAATCTAATTTCTAGAATCTTAAAGATTTTTTAGTTCTAAATATTTTTATTTTGATATCTCATGTCATGTCACAATATATCTCTAGTGTCTTCTTATTTTTTTAGAATATGTTAGATACATTTTTCATGGTTTAAAAACCTTATCAAATGGTTTACCTTTTTCACTAAAGAAAGATGAAACCAGAACCTCTAACCGAGGCTGGGTGGTAATTTAAATGTTTTTGAGAATTGAGGGAGCCAGTTTATCTAGCTTTCGAGTTCAAGGAGCAAAACTGGACTCCGATGATAGACCATGGAGGTAAAAATGGTTTTTTTATAATAAATCTTCAAGGGAAACAAGACTTGCTTCCACATAAGTCAGCCCACTTTGGCCCATTAGCAAGTTACAGCGGCCCACGGGTTGATGCGAGTTTTATTTTTATTTTATTTTCCCCGATTAGCAAACTTCATTCTTAGCTCAAAATTATTTTTTTTCTCGAAAATGCAGGAGAGCTGCGCTTCATTAAATTAAGAAGAGAATAAAGGGCAAGAGCCCAAACAACACCTTACACACCACACACACGCACACGCCCCAACAGTTTCTAGGATTACACTTGCGCCGGTGACATAAACACACAAGACGACCACTACTAAGTTAGACACTCCAACTACAGGGGAGGAGGGTAGTCAGAAAAGATAATCCTCGAGCCCCAGCCATAGACCATAAGCGGCGGTCCTCGCCAGCTAAAATCAGAGCACCAGAGCTGCTCCATCGAAAACACACCTATTGCGATGGTTTCAAATAGTCCATGCTCCAAGTATAATAAGCGAATTAACTCCTTGCCTTATCAGCCCATCAGCGGTGCTACTGCTAGCTTTCTCCCACCAAGCATGGAAGGACAACTCTGTAGGCTGAGGGGACAGGATCTGAACACCGATCTGTCTGAGCAGATTGAACCAAAATTCTCTTGCGAACACACAATGGACAAGGAGATGGTCAATAGTCTCTTCTTCTTGGTCACAGAGAGGACAATATTCAGGATGAGGCAACCCACGACGTGCTAGGCGATCAGCCGTCCGGCACTTGTTGTGCGCGACCATTTGCTCAAAATTATATTAGGATAAATCCATTCATAGACACTACGGCTATGGTTTTTGGCTTTTCATATGCATTCAAAGCATTTTTTTGTAGAACTTAATTCAACATTATGTGAGATCAGACCTTTTTGCTTAAATGATGAAATGGTACGTTCGTAATCCTAAGAAATGTTCACATCCAATGCAAAATTCAGATGACTTTATAAAAAAAAAGAAATATGAGAACAGCCACCGACACTAGGTGTCACTTTGCAACAGAGACGCTCAGGGAGCCCTCCTACCCTTTCACGGTGTTACTCTTCTTTTTTCAAATGACGACGAGAGATTTGCTAAATCAATTTATTTAGAAGAAAAAGTAGGGGATGAAATAAACAAGCTACCTAACAAAAAAAAAGTAGAAAAAACAGGCAATTTGAAAAGCAGAGGAAAAACAGCCTGGGAGGTACCACAGCAACTTGAATCCAGCAAAGGCCAAACATATCCTAACTTGCAACAAGAAACGATGCATGGTGTGATATATTAAGAAATGAGTTATGTGTTGACCTCTACAGTTTTGATATGAAGTTTGTGTCCATACGACATTATATTATACGTTAAAAGATTTTACTTTTTATATAAGAGAAAGAGGGAGACCAAATGATGTGTGGGCTCCACTACCATGTCAACAAAACCATCCAAGAAACCACTTCGAAATGGTCAAACGGGGTATTTTGTGTGGTTTTAGAAGTTAAAGTGTGTATGCTGTTTGAAATTTGAAGTTCGATGAGGTCTTTCAAATTCAGCGACTAGTTGGATCGGACTTTACTTTTAAGAAATATAGGATACAGAGGTGTCACACAATATGTGTTGCCTACTTGGATTGCATTACACAACTTGAGTTGAGAGAAATATACCGCTTGCAAAGAAACATTTGCCTAGTCCACTGGCCAGCGGTCGTCAATTGATGGCCATCTAAGGGCTTATTTAGCTGCACTTAATTATATTCATCTTAACCCATGTATGTTGAGATAAATTGAGGTGAAAATTAGTTATTTTTATGCACTCATAATCTAACCCAATACATATAGCCAAACAAGGCCTACAGTGGTAAGTGGAGATACTTTCAATTCGAGCTTGCCATATAGATGTATAGTTGTATACTCAATCCGTTTTTTACATGTCACATTAGCTTTGTCCTAACTCCTAAGTCAAAATTTACTATCACTGACCTATTATTTCAAAAAATCCTTATATTTTCACAATATATGAATTCTCTATACTACGAGGGTCTTTCTTATAGTGAATCTAAAAAATAGAAATATTATGTGATGAACCTATATTTTTTAAAAATTAGTGATCAAAAATACAAATATTTGATTTATGACAAAGCTAATACAGCCATGTAGCTGGCTACAAAATAACTTATTCTGTAGCCACTTTGAGTTACGATAATTACTATGTTAATTTATGATATTATAGTAACTCTTTACGAAGTGGTTTACTATAACGTTATAGTAAATATCCCCATGTGTTATAGTAACCCAACTATCGTAAATATGTATTGACATTATCGTAAATTATATATAAAATATCGTAAATTATCGTAAATTTTGTAGTTGTTTCTTGATATATCTATATCTGTTCTCTACCGGCTATAGAATAACTTATTCATGGCTTTGAGTTTAATTACCATGCTAATTTATGAGATTACATATAATATCTATATATATATATATATATATATATATATATATATATATATATATATATATATATATATATGTATATAAATTGGTACAAATATTATAACGAATTGAGGACGTATGGATTAGTACGCATTACGCAACAAAACAAAATTAAAGGTTTGCTACACATATATATATACATGATATATGGCTAGTTACAAGATACATGCAATGTATATGGTTCTCGGTTTAATGTCTGTTCCTTAACTGTGATGGCTTAATAAGCCAGACGGTGGGACGGCACTCCTGTACAAATGCACAGCACGGTTTTGTCTCAATCCTCCGCATTCACGGATGCCGAAATGATTGAGAGAAACACAAAGGTGATGTGTAGAACCAACTAACTAGAGGTCTAAAAGGAGCTTCGACAAATTCTGAGTCCGTAATTTCATGCCGAACCCGTGATTCCGTGAATGATCCCTTGCAAGGCCTACAGGTCGTCCAACGACCTCGACACTCACAGCGACACGGGCGCGGCCTGACCTCGATCGGCACTCACGGGCACGGCGCGGCGACACGGACGACATCGGTGTTGCGGCAAGCTAAGTGACAGCGCACGAGGCGGCAATGGTAGCTCCTCCTCCTGCAGCGGCAGGTCGCTTGACGAATCGGCCCTTCATCCGCGGCCGCTTCTCCGCGTTGAGCTTCCGCACCTCGTACCTTATCTTCTTGGAGAACAGCCTCGTCCGCCGCTTCTCCCGGTACCGTGTCACGCGCGCCTCCCGCCCGCCGCCCATCCCCAGCCGTGGAGTCACCGCCACCTCCCCACCCAGCCGTCCTCCTCCCGCCATCCAGCCCTGCACCACCGTACCACGCAGCAAACAAACCTTGCATGAACCCGATTGTACTTGCAATTGCAAGTTGCAAGTCGAAGCATATATGCGCGCGCGATCGATCGAATCGAGGACGAGGACCAGCGGCGTGTGAATTCGCAAATCACGTACCGTGAGGTGGGCGTGGGGCCAGAAGTCATCGAGCTGGACGTTTGGCCGTTGGCCATCGGTCCACGGTGAGCTCCCCCAGCTCTCGATGATGGCCTCGTAGTTGAGACTGAGATCCAGGCTCCTCTTCAAGAACTGCGTACCCGCGGCGGCGTCGCCGCCGTTGATCGCCGACGCCTTCTGTTCGAAGCTGTCCTCGTCCATCCATCATCACCGTGGGCGAGCTGCAGTTGAAGTCTATGTCCAGCACCTCAGCCGACGACGCCTCCGGCTTCAGCTCGGCAGGGCAAAATCCAGGAGCACCCTCGCTGCGGGAGTGGGAGATTACGCTGCCGTTGGGCTCCATCTTCACCCGCCCGACGTCTTCCGCCTGCTGCGTCGTCATTAGCCCTAGGCTCTCCATGTAGAATGATTCATCCAGCTCGTTGCTGTCGCCCAGGCCCTGGCCAAGAAGGGCTTCCATGTCGGCGGCGAACTCTCTGAGCTCGGCGTCCGTGGGGCCGAAGCCGGCGAAGCTGTCCGGGAGCTGCTGCACGGGTGATTCCGCGACCACCACCGCCGGTGGTGCCTTTGTGTTCTCCACGGCGCCGTCGACGTCATCCCTGAAGCAGGATGATGAGGCCGTGGCCGTAGGGTCATCCACCGGAGGCGGCGGCGTGCAGAGCTCGGCCAGGGCGCGGTCAAAGGTCGGCACGCAGTACAGCAGCTGCTCCTCCTCCTCCTCCTCCTCTTCCTCTTCCTCGGCCTTCCGCTCCTCCGACGACTCGACAGTGGACACCTCGGGCACGACGACGACCTTCCTCGACAGAAGCTGCCCGACGCTCTTGACGTGCGGCCTCCGGGTGCGCGCCTTGCGCTTGGACCACGCCGGCGCTACCTGCTGCTGCTGGCGCTTCTTCCACGTCGACGTCGACGCCACTCCGACGCCGGCCTCGAGCGTCGAGTGCGGCGGGTCCGGCGGCGACGTCGTCGGGCGAAGGCGCAGGCGCTCGTGCCGCCTGGCGAGCGGGTTCGCCGAGTGCACCGACGCGTCGCAGCCCTGGCACAGGAAGGCGTCGTCGGCCGCGCAGTACCACCGCGCGCGCCGCCGCAGGCAGCTGTCGCAGGCGCGCGCGGCCTTGCCGCCCACGGCGGCGGCGCCGGCCGCCGCCTGCTTCGAGCTGCTCATGTGCCGCCGACAAATTAAAGCTAGGTGCAACATAAGCGATCCCGGGAAACTTGCACAAAGCTAGTTAGGTGCGCGCGCTCCAGCTCCAACCCGGATCGAGCTCGAGCGTGTGACAGAATGTAGCTGGCCGCTAGCGTGACAAAATCGCAAGAAAATATCACTTCCGGATTAGGGCTGCACTGCATGAGTGAGAGATGCATGGCCCAGCATGGTTCTTTTTCGGGGACCTCAGCCGCGATGCCAAGTGTACTTTCCACTTTTAGTGTAGACCTGGGGGCCCACCTGCAGGCCTTATCTGGGAGGCGATTGGCCCGCTGGAAATACCCCATCCGGTTCCCCGAAATGCGATTGGCTGCGGCTGGATTTTCAGTTGGGGCCACGGCATGGTTTCGAGACACGTTGGAGGAGCATTTTGGGATCAGGAGGACCAGAACAAGAGGTCCCCTGATGAAAAGTCGTTTGCTGTACCGATCAGCTGCTGTTTCTTCGTACACACTACTCCAAGCACTTTATTTTTTAAGATTATATGCGCAATTTCAATGGATTACTCTTTCTGTTTATTCGTAACCGATGCAAGAATCTCGATGAACTTTATAACTGATGTTTCAGTTCCTGATACCGTGAAACTTATTGAGTTACTCAATCCATCCTAAATTGTAAATTGTAAGACGTTTGACTTTTTTGACATCAAATTTAACCACTCGTCTTATTTAAAAATTTGTGTAAAATATCACTTCTTTCGTCGTGGTTTGGTTTATTAATAAAAAATCTTCAAGAATGACTTAAATTTGACTATATTTGCACAAATTTTTTGAAATAAGACGAGTGGTTAAACTTGGGGCCAAAAAAGTCAAATGTCTTCCAATTTGGGATGGAGGGAGTACCTACGATTAATAGCTAGCTTCAATTTCTCTGAGAGGTTTACCGAGGAATCAAGTGTATAATATGGATAGCCTTAAAAAAAAGTGTATAATCACTACCGGAAAACGTCAACTTTGCCGAGTGTTTTTATGTTTGCCGAGTGTATTCTCTCGGGCACTCGGCAAACAAGTTCTTTGCCGAGTGCTGCGTTAAAAACACTCGGTAAAAAAAACACTCAGTGAAAAGGAAGTTTGCCGAGTGTCAAAAAAAAACACTCGACAAAGAGGGGAAAACGTCAACTTTGCCGAGTGTTTTTATGTTTGCCGAGTGTATTCTCTCGGGCACTCGGCAAACAAGTTCTTTGCCGAGTGCTGTGTTAAAAACACTCGGTAAAAAAACACTCAGTGAAGAGGAGGTTTGCCGAGTGTCAAAAAAAACACTCGACAAAGAGGGGGTTTGCCGAGTGTTTTCTTTTTTGTACTCGGCAAAGAAGTAAAATATTTTTTCTGGGAAAGAAAGAGAAGAAAAAAAATGAAAAAAAAAACTTTGCCAAGTGCCTAGATCTAGGACACTCGGCAAAGAAGTAAAAATGTTTTTTCTGGGAATGAAGGAGAAGAAAACCGCCTCCCTCCTCCTTTTTCCCGCACCTCCCTCCTCCGCCCTCCTCCGCTCCTCACCACCTCCTCCTCCGCCCCTCCTCCTCCCCTCCTCCTCCTCCTCCTCCTTCCTTCCTCCTCCTTTTTCCTCCATTCTCACCTCCTCCTCCTCCTCCTCCTCCCGCCCTGCCCCCCCCTCCTCCTCCTTTTTCCCAAGACCAAGACTCTCCTCCTCCTCCGCTCCCCTGGCTAGAGCGCCCTTCTCCCCCGACGTGCTCCATCGGCGCTCGCTCCTCCCCCGAGCTGCCCCAAAGGCAGCCGGCGCGCCCTCCTCCCCCATCTCCTTCTCCGATGAGCGTGGTGGCCGATTTGCCGCTGGTGGGTGGATCCGAGACTGTGGTGGCCGGATCCACGCCCATGGTGGCCGGATCCACGCCCATGGTGACCGGATTAGCCGAAGTCCGCCCCCTCCTCGTATTCCCTCTCTCCCCTCCCAAGATCCACCTCCAGCCCCTCCCTTTCCCCACCTCCATGGCTCAGACGGCGCCCGTCATGTCGCCGCCACCACCATCCGAAGCGGTCGCGTGGCGGCGGCTCGCCTCAACAAAGACCGGATCCGCCGCCACTGACCTCGTCCGAGGTAGGCCCCATGGCCCCTGCTTCGGACGCCGGCCGCTGGCCAACCGAGCCTCCATGGCCCCCCCGCTCCGTCGGGGCGGATGTCCGGCCGCCGCCATGGCCAAAGATCTCGCCAGATCTTGCAGCAGCACCATCCACGGTGTGGGGACAATGGATCCAGCCAGCATGAAGCCCCATCCCCCATCATCGGCGACTCGGGAGGTGCCCATGGAGGCCTCTCACCGCTGCCGTCAACCGCGCGTCGGGCACGAGACGGTGAACTCGAGGCTTGCTTCGTCGCATGGCGGCACCCTCCGTTGTTTCGTCCTCGCTCTCCCCTCCCCCTCGCCTCGCCCTTCCAACCAGGCGGTGGTGGTGGCCGGCCGGTGGTGGTGGCGGCCTGTGCTTGTTTTTTTTTTTTTCTTAAAAAAATGTTTGCCGAGTGTTTTTTTTTTTGCACTCGGCAAAAGTGTTTGCCGAGTGCTCAACAAAAAACACTCGGCAAAGAATGTTTGCTGATAAATCTTTGTCGTGTGTTGGTTGCCGAGTGCAATACTCGGCAAAGAGGTTGCCGAGTGTTTTTCGGGCTATTATTATTTAAGTATCTTTTCGCACTGCTGTGATTATATTGTAGCCCAGCCTATTATTATATTATAGCCCACAAGCAAAGCTCGTCAACTATATATACTAATTTAAGTATCTTTTCGCACTGCTGTGATGGAAGGCGAAGTTTTGCTTAATTAAGAATATTTATTTCTTTTACATGCTTGTTTAAACTCTTAAATCCAAGCTGAGAACTTGTATTAATTTTGTGAGCTCCTAAATCGAAGTGGTGGATTGATATTGATTATTTCGAGTTGTATTGCCTCTTTATGACTTTGATTAATGAATTGATTCTCATCATAAAAAAACAACATGTAAGCACATATTATCTGACTTAAGAAAATCCGCTTCCGCTCCGACACCGGTCCGAATCTGTACCATTTCCGACATCCTAAAAATTTTATATTCGCATTCGAATCCGTATAATATCCGATCCGCTTCGAATCTGATAAAAAAAAGTGAATTAGGATATGGAAAAGACATTATCCGATTCGATCCGATCCCTAGCTAGCATGAATAGTTTCCTGACTAGAGGCATCAAGTAATTCAGACAGTTTAAGCCGCCTCTCGCCTGTCCGTTCTTACAAATTCAACCAAAGTAATTTATCCTAAGATTACTATCTCGAGACTTCCATGGGCTTGTGCAGAAGCCAAATATTGGTAATGTCAATCACCATCATATATGTAACGTGTACACAAATCATTGGAATGCTGTTAAAGTAGCACTGCTGTCTACAGTACTGTAGTAACTGGAATCACTGTGACTGTGTTTTCTGTCACGCTCAAAGGCCAAACTTGTGTCCTGTCCAGCGACTTGGGGATTTGCATCGCTTGCAGAAATGAAAATTTCTTGGAAAGAAACAGGTTAAAATGATATGCGTTGGAGCATAGCGTAGAGGTCAACATGGCTCGCTCACCAATGACCATCCTTGCAGAGGGCACGCCAGCCAATTTCAATTAAAAACTTATCCTCTTGATAATCCAGTGTGTGAATCTCTGTAGCTGCATGCAAAAAAAATCATTTTCCTTTTAGCATTTCCTTTTAGAATGTCCGATGCAGTTCTGGGTTTTCCCAGGCGCGCGCGTTGGTCATCCCGGTCTCACGGAGCGAGCACTATGGGGCCGTTCGGCTGGCTGGTTGCCAGCCAGCTCTCTCTCATGAAATTCTCGCGTCGTCCAAGAGGGTTTCTCTCAAGGAATCATCAAAAGACGAAGCCAATGGCCCATATATTGTCAGGAACAGATTTGCTTCTGCAGACGCAGAACAATTCCATGAAGTCGGTAAACAAGGTCTTGTTTAAATCCAAGACGTAAAGTTTTAGGTGTCACATCGGATGTTATGAGGTGTTGTATGGAGTGTTCGGATACTAATAAAAAAATAAATTACTGAATCCATCAGTAATCCGCACGACGAATTTATTAAGTCTAATTAATCCGTCATTAACGCATGTGTTACTGTAGTACCACGTTTTCAAATCATAGACTAATTAATTTTAAAAGATTCATCTCGCAGATTAATCATAAACTGTGCAATTACTTATTTTTTTAGTCTATATTTAGTACTCTATGTGTTAAATATTCGATGAGCCGGAGAGTAACTTTTGCAGGAGGAACAAAACAAGCCTCAGCTGGAAAAAATACTGTCATACACTTCTTAGGCCTTGTTTAGATTGCAAGTTTTTTCACTCTCTCTCCATCACATCAAATCTTTGGACACATGCATGGAGTATTAAATGTAGATAAAAAAATAACTAATTATATAGTTTGATTATAAATTACGAGACGAATCTTTTAAGCCTAGTTAGACCATAATTAAACAATAATTATTAAATACAATCGAAAGTGCTACAGTGCCGTATACTGATTCCTAACCTGATCTAAACAAGGCCTTGTTCCCGGTGACGAGCATGCCACGTACACGCTCATTGACAAGTCTGAAGTGCCAGTGTCTCGCGCAGAGCAGGCTAACCGGGACAATCACATCAGCGTCAAGCCCATCCTGGAATCCCCACGGTCCAGCACCAGCAGCCTGCCGCCAGCCCTCCAGGGAAAGACAGAATCAGATGGCTCGCCCATCACGCTGATCCGGCCTCCGGGAACGCATGTGGCCGCTTCCGCATCCGGGTCTCGGCCGGCCGCACGCGGCGGCAGGTGTCGCCACCGCATCGCTGACGCCGACGTGCCGCGAGTACCCCTCCGCGGCAGCGGCAGCTCTCGGTGCTACAGTACCTTCTTTTGTCTCCGGTCAGTGGTCAGTCTCCGATCCTGTACGTATTTCTACCGTTCTACGCCCCTACCGCCCGAGCTTGGAGGGCAGCCGCGATGTTTATCCGCTTGATGATGATGAGTCGTGTCCTCGTCGGAGGATCCACGACGACGTGTTGCGTTGCGGCTGTCAGCGTCGTCGTCTCCAACCTCTTCTCTGCCATTTCACTTTCACCTATGTGATAGGAGGAAAGAGGAATACGGAGGTCTTCCAGAAACCGCAGAGACGTGCTAGCGACTAGTGCTAACCAGGAACCAAGACCTGCAAATGACCTTGATTTGTTTTCAACTAGAAAGATTGTCCACCCAAATAGTGTCTTTTTGGATCCTGTGCTCTAAACAGGTGGTTTAGAATTAGCTGCTAGCTCATCTCACATTAGAACTTTAGACCTCAAAAGTGAGCTAAAGTGCTCTAAAATTTTTAGAGTTCTAAATTTAGAGG